AGAGGCATGGAGTAGAGAGCTTTCAAAACCACAGCTGTCTAGAACTATAGCACAGGTACAAAACAAATCACCTCAAGATACCTGAACCTCTTGAAGCTGACTGCTAGGCTATTTATAGCACTTAAAACAAGATTCTCTGTTCATAAGCAGAAGCAGGCTTGGCCCAGCATCCCTGCTCCAATCCCCAGACAGCATCCTCTCCCCAGGCACAGAACCCCAGTGAAGGTCCTCCTGCACCTTTGGGAAGCAGCTGCAACCCCTTCCACAGCAAGGTGGGCAGCAGGTCTGTGCCACAGATCTGGATGTGCCATCCAAATTTATAGCAGGCTCTGGGCGATTCACGCTGAATCCCTTCTTCACACTGCTACGGAGATGTGAAGTTCCTTTTCACTGCTCGCTTCTTCGCTCATGCAAATTTTTCAAGGATTTGGAACTTAACTGACTCCTGAGGATACCTGCCATGGGAATGAGTTTATGACCTATCATTTAGCATCCTTACTTTTTCCCCTGTAATTACCTCCAAATGACAGGTTACACAACAGCAGTTTGCTGTTATTACTAGCACATAACCAGAGAGCTCGACTCATAAGAAAGCAGATTTTTCTCCCTAAATTTCTCCCACATTTCAGAACATTCGTCAACTTACCCAGAAACACCACAAAAAAAGAGCATTACAGTACTCAAACAGAAAGCAAACCCCTTCCATAGGAGTTTGTTAGGAGTACAAGCCCCTAAACTTGTAAAAGGCACTTTTTTCTGAGCCCTTCAGCAGAGATGTCATCCTGACTACACAGGTAAACCAGACTGAATTGCAGACAGTTTCTTTCAAATCATAACCCAGATGCCATTTCTGGATGTCCCCAAAACATACCCGAGAAACTTAACATGCATTCAGATAAAAGTGTGTACGTGTGTCTGTACATGCAAAATACAGCTCTCCTAGTCCACCCATTAGCATGCAAGAAAATGGAAGGGCTGACTTATGTCACACTCCTGTCTGGTCAAGAACTGGGGTTTTAAATACAAGATATAATCCGGAATTTACAGCCTGGCACTTGAGAACAGCCAGATCCTTCTCCATCATTGCATTATTTTATCTGCTAGTATTTCTTAAACTCTATTTTCTTTACTCTGGATGAAATTCTGTTTCCAGTGAAATCACCTTTCAAGTACTACTTTTTACTGCCATCCTGAAGAACCTCTACCCTTGCTGAGGCTAACCTATATTAAACATGCATAAAGTTTTAGCACGATTTGTACCCAACACACTAGTCTCCAGTGTGGGATTTTGGGATAAGATACTTGGGAATGTTCAAATTTTAAGGTGGAAAGGCAGAGAAGAGGAGTTGTGCTTCTGCACATCTCATATCGCTGATGAGGCCACACCTCAAACACCATGTTCAGTTTTGGGCTCCTCACTACAAGAAAGACATTGAGGTTCTGAAGCGTGTCCAGAGAAGGGCAATGAGGCTGGTGAGGGATCCAGAGCACAGGGCTCATAAGGAGCAGCTGAGGGAACTGGGGGTGTTTAGCCTGGAGAAAAGGAGGCTGAGGGAAGACCTTATTGCTCTCTACAACTACCTGAAAGGAGGTCGTAGCCAAGTGGGGGTCGGTCTCTTCTCCCAAGTAACAAGTGGTAGGACAAGAGAAGATGGCCTCCAGTTGCACCAGGGGAGGTTTAGGATGGATATTAGGAAAAATATCTTCACTGAAAGCGTTATCAAACATTGGAACAGGCTGCCCAGGGAAGTGGTTGAATCACCATCCCTGGAGGTATTTAAAAGACGGGTAGACGTGGTGCTGAGGGACATGGGTTAGTGGTGGTTTTGGCAGTGTTAGGTTACTGGTTGGACTCAATCTTAAAGGTCTCTTCCAACCTAGACAACTCAATGATTCTATTCTACGATTCTATGACTTAAGATAAAGCAGACATTAAAAACTAAGTTGGTGTGTCACTGAACTGCTGCCCTATCTGGAAATCAGGAGCTCCAAAACTGCTTTTCACAGCTATAATCAAGCTTTTGAATAGTAAATGTATCATGCCTTTATTAGCTATGCAGCTGCATATTTAGCAAGATAATGATATCCTGGTAAAATGAAACCACAGTAACACATTCAACACCTGTATTTGTCTTGAGACAGTAAACAAGATTGCTAATTTTTTGACTCAAGAGATTTTCCTGATTAAATAAAATGCAAATTAGGCAAAATCTACTACAAAGTTGGTAACTCCTTTTTAATTAAAGCCTTTATTTTTAAGTCTGAATGGACACAATTTGGCTTATTGTTTCATACCATAAATAGGGAGGCAGAGTACCTGATTTGTTTTTCTAATACTTGCTTTGCTTTTCAGCTCTAGAGAAAAATTTAGACACATTGTGGTATCTTTCTTACCTTCCTGACTGAAAGCTCTTCCACCTGCTGTATCATGCAGTGAATTATGTCAGCATATACTGATTATACGTGACACTGGTCTGGATGTATGAGATCAAAAGCTTTGTTGTTATGCTCAAAGGACACCAGGTGGTGGTAGGCTCCTTAGTAGCATATTTGCATTCCTTACATTGTGACATTCATGTTGTCTTTCTCTTAAACGCTACCTTCTGTCCTTCAAAATGCTAATCGCTTTGAGACATAAAAATAGCAATACCGGGTCTTCCAAAAGCCTACCTAGCTTAATACCCTGTTTCCAAGAGCACCCTAAAGCAGACACCAGCAAGAAGGGTAAGAGCAAGCCAAGCATACACAAGCACTTTTTTTCCAAGCAGCCTCCCCAGCGCCAGCCAGCAGGTAACAGTGGTGGACTCCACATCATCTGGCTCATTCCACCCCACTCCATTTCCCAACCTGGCCCTCAGAGCCTTTAGTAAACTTTACCAGGCTACTATTTTATGAAAAGAGTCTAGTATAAATCTCCTCACTCTACCAGCTTAAAACTGGGCATTGTGTTATTAACATTTAAATCTGACCCACTCTGATAAAGTTGTTAGGAATATTCACTTTGAAGTCCATGTATTCACAAACTACAAAAAAAATATTTAGCACTTTAAAGAAACACAGTGTCACCGTTTATAAGACTTCACAACACAAGCTATTTACTTTCACCATCTTTTGCTAGCTTTTATGCTAAACCCATCATTTCCACACTTCCTGACCTCTTCAGAAAATCAGTTTACAGAAGCTATTCCCACTTCTAACACTGACATTCCTATATAACATACCAAAACACATAAGACAACTGCAAAGCCTCTGGGTAGTAGTGATTGAAGAATTTAACTGTAAAGGCATAAGAACATCATAATTCAGGGATTAAGAGGGCAAGCTATGTGAGATTTCTTAGATAATTGAGAATGGCCCATAATTCACTAGCAGTCATAGGAAATTCTACTATCCACACAGCTTTCAGAGCAAGAAATCAAGTCAGCTGTATGTGAACTGATTTCTTCAGCCACCAAAGCAAACAAACCCCATCTATGAGATAATTTTATTATTTCTGGCAGCAAATGTTTGATACATATCTGAATTAAATACTCGCACAAATGGTAAATATCAGAAGCTGACATTTTTTCCTTTTGTAAAAAAATTAAACTTTCTGCTTAGATACTAGTTTCAATTTTCTTCTAAGTGTTATGATTTTTATTTTTTTTTTTTTTTTAATAGCCTACATTTTTACACCACACATCTTTGCAGGCACAGAGTACCTTTTCATGGTCTGTTACAGCTACCTGACACAGCAGGGTCATTAGTATTTGTGCTAAAGTTCAGTTTCGTTTGGCACCTCCAGAGCAATACACAGATTCCCTGAAATAACAACTGGGAGAGGAGGAAAAAACACTGCTGCTGTTTGCAGCTCTGCTTACAAGGGCCAGCAGGCCAAGAGATGCTGCTCTCAGGAGAGTGCCTGGTAAAAAACACAGATTTCTATATTAACTCTGCAGGTCACAAGTTCAGTTCAAACTGAAAGAGTTTATCTGTTTTCTGCACTCTACTTCTGCTGTATTTCTTTGAATACTACATATCTATCATTGCCTACTATTATAAACTATACAGCCTTCTTGTTACAATTAGCTTCAAGCTGAAAACAAAATTAAAATCTCATCCAATAAAGCTCTGATAATAGCAGGCCCACTGTTTTTATGACTAAAACGAAAAAGCTTCATTAATATCGCAAAGCAGCTGGAGACCAAACAGGGTAAGCACCATTGTGCTAGGCTCTGCACTAAAGCTGACAAGTCTAAATCGTTTTAGGTAATGTTTCTAGAACTCTGGGGCACAGAGTCCCAGACTGGAGGAACTAGAGGTAGTGGAGGGGAAAACAAGGGACAGGAAGAGTCAAGTAAATCCACCATTACATACAGGCTAAACAGCAAGCAGAATCCACCTGGGAGACAATTTCCAGGAAAAATACTTCAGTGAACACTGATTTAAAGCAACCCAACATTCAAAACTGACACTTTTTTGTGAAATATTGTGCTGAAACTCCAGAAATTCATCCTACATTATAAACAATTACCATTTTTCATAGTATTTTTAATGTGCTGCAGACTTTCTCTGCTGTATGACTGTAGATATTAAAGCATTGTAACTACAGCTTTCCTCACAGGGTGATTAATCAACCATTTCTTTTGGTTCCCTGGAAGAATATCTAGCTGAAACCTGGGTTTTAGACCAAGACTGAAAAATGAACCATTTAATAGATAACTGGAAAAAAACAATTGGTATGTTAGTGAAGCTAAGTAGGCTGAGTCTAGTTCTAGTAATTAAGAGGATGAAAATGCTGAAAGGGACATTTGCCCCTACCCTCTGCAGCATGAAAAAAAGTAACCAAAAATGGAAATTCATTTAGAAATTGCTAAAGATGAATCATCGGGGCGAGAAAAAAAACAACCCAAGGACATGAAAGCAAGCATGTATGTGACCACAAACACACACATGTATGTTCTTATATGCTGACTGCCATATATCAGTAATGAACTGTCTGAAAAGCAATAATGACTAACCTCCACATTTTAGTGAAACTGTGCATCAGGCTCACGCAGCAAGGCAGAGCTGGAGGTTTGAGTCCATCCATTTGAAGGAGGAGGGCAGGAACACCATAAAGAACGAGGTATTTCACATAAAAAAAAAGTACTTGAGCTAAGGCCAGGCCACCTGAAAGAAAAAATAAAAATAAAAAAGGTCATACCTTAAACAAGTACTGAAATACTTTTAAAATCTGTTAATACTGATTACTTCTAAAGAGCTATCATTCAAAGAACTAAAGCAAGCATCATCAGTGGATGGGATATACAATACCTACTTTTGCAACGGCTATACGACACAAACACATGCAAATATGACTTTAGGCACACACACAAAATAGTACCATCGTTCCAATATGAAGGCATAAGTAAGCATCTGTAGTTCCACTTTCAAAAATCTTTGGACTGTGGGTATTGACTGCTATGAAAAACAAATACTGACTTATGTTGAGCTAGAAATCAGAACATACTGATATAAGCAATGAACATTTACCACAAGGACAATAAATTTTATCTTTGCAAAAAACCCCAAACAACCACCCTTCAGTTGTTCCTCCAGAATAGGTATAAACAATGGTTATCTTCACAGCTTATCCTGACAGTTCCACAAACATCCCGTGTACTGTCAGATTATTTGTGTCCCCCAAAGCACTCACTACAAGATGCCTCCTGCTGCAGCTGAGGCATAGAAGACTGGAACTCCACTTGGCATAATGCTTAAGGTATATTTCGGTTTTTAAAACCCCAGGACAAAGGCCTCCTTAAGGCACTTTAGCTGCTCAATTTCCAAAGAAAAAATTTTAGCAGTGCGTTGGCTCACAGCTTAACCCCAGGCATGGCACAAAATGTACCATCTTGCACAGGTGTGAGATGAAAAAATCATACTGGCTATTCTTAGAGTTATACTCATCTGAGTAACAATCTTGGAACCCATTATAAATAAGCAAGATTATTCATATTAACATTCTAAATGTTTTCTGGTGAGTAAAACTGTATTTGACCAATAATCATATGAAAAAATTCAGTAAAAAAATCAGAGGCCAACACCTTTATAGAAACTGGTCAGAGTTCACTCCTAAAAGTTCCAATAACTTTGGTGAACTATTCCATCTGACAGCTGACATAAATAAAAACTAATCCCAAAGGAGGGAAAGTAAAATTACTATAATTTGGAAGAGTAAAAGAAGTTACAATTGTTACATCTCCTTCCTTTCCAGTGTTTTGCTTTCCTTCACTGATATTAACTAACTTGTTACTTGCCTGAAGTACTTCAGATATTAAATATAATTTTAAAACCTTCCAGCAGACTTCCCTTGGAGACAAAGTTTTCAACCTGACTCCAGCAGTACAAGTCCACAAACATGTAAATAATCTGCGCTTTTTTTGGCAAAACATCCCTTTTGCATTCTGCTGACTAATGATTATACTATGGATGACAATGAAAAGTTAAACCTTAAAAATTCATCTAATGTATAACAACCTAGGGTGAAATTCTGGCACTAATAATGTAAATTGCAAAACTTTTTAGTTTTAATACCATGGTCCACATGCACTATATAAGAAACAGTTGTGCCACACAAGATAAAAATTGATGTTAGAACAAAATACCTAGACATGAAGCTTATGGTATTTTCCGCAGTCATCTAGTATTCAATAACGTTCTCCCCAGAGGAAAACAAACAATCAAAAGCACAATTTGGATGCTAGCCAATTAGCTACACATTAGATTACTGCTAAATCATCTATACAGCCAACTTTCTGCTTTAATTCCCATCTCATTCAGTTTCTCATTTCTTTTCTGACAAATTTCATTGGAGAGCTGAATGCTGACACCCACACAAACCAATTACAAAGATCACAGCTGTCTGTGCACTGGTAAAAGTCAAAATCCTTTGGCTGTGCATGATAGAAAGAGATTTAGAGATACAGATTGCCACTCTTGAGACCCAAAAATCAATACATTTGATTTTAAATACAATGATGAAAGATTCCGAGTTCTTGCATAAAAAGTTATAATATGAATGTTTCATGAAAAAAAAAAGGCATTTTCACCAACTCTAGTAACATACATCTAATTTGTCATGACTGTTAACTAGCAGACAGCTCAACAGCACTGGTATCTTAAAATAAATGTAGATGTCACATCACCAATTGTTACCTGGCATGCACCAGCTACTCAGCATGGGGCAATTCTAAGACTCACAATGCCAGCAATATGAATGTCCCTATCAAAACATACAGGCTAAGTGCTCACTGGTCTTCAACTCATCCCCACTGTGAGAGTGTTCTGGCCACACATGGAAAACTAAGGCAAGATTCCCAGCCACACAACAGCTGGGCTGCACTGGCAACAGGTACAGGCTTTATACCTTCTTGCAGTCCAGCTGCTTTGCATTTGTTCTGTTATAGCACAAAGCAGCCAGAAGTATGCTGCTTCACCTGATTTAAAAACATGAAATAAAAAAAAAAAGAAATTTAAGAGCAATGCAAAGTTTCTCAAATTCATGAACAATATCAGGTAATTTGTTCTCTAGTGTTCGATTTAGAACTGTCGTGGTTTGGCCTCAGCCGGCAACAAAGAACCAGGCAGCTGCTCGTTCAACTCCCACAGCCATGGGAAAAATCAGCAGAAAAAGGCAAAACTTGTGGGTTGAGATAGTGCAGTTTAACAGAACAGCAAAAGGGAAGAGAAAAAAAAACCTACCAAAAAACAATAACACTGATAAAGAGATATGAAGAGGCAATTACAGTACCACCACAAAGCGCATTGACCGGACCTGCACCACCACAGCCCACTCCCAAGTGGCAACTGCTCTCCCCTCCCCGGCTAGCACCTCTTGTAGCCCAGGCATGGCTCACCTGGGATGGACTACCCACCCGCTGCCAGCTTCCGGGGGAAATTAACCCCATCCCTGCCGCAACCAGGACAAGAGCTTAAAAAGAACTTGCACACAAGTATTATCTTAAATTGGAAACAAGCTATATCAAGTGTCTATCAAAAACACACCTAAGCAAAAAGGTATTGCAAAAATGTGATCTTTTTCCCCCAGAATAAATTAATTCAAAAGATTCAGAGTCAAGGTTAATGTTTTTTTAAAACTGAAATGTGTTAAGGGATAAAAAAAATATCAAGTTAAAGAACCCATACAATCTTAAACACATGCACATCAACAGTCAAGCTGTTTGAAGTCCCAGATAAAGTTATCTGACTTACAGAAGTTGATATTTTCAATTTAACATCTTGCATTCCTTAAAATGTTTTAAGTTTTCCTATGCTGTAAAAATGCATTTATAGACCCTCAAATATTTACCTTCCTTAGATTTACTGCAAAACTGCATTTCCTAAGTTTCACAAAGCTTTGTTTCAAGGATAATTAGAATTTAGAATACACAAAGAATTATTTAATTATTTTTTTTTTAGTTTTCATATTCTCAAAACTGTGCATGATATTTTTTGAAATAGGTTATAAACCAGAATATTTTCATAAGTAAGGTACAAAACATTTGGATCCAGGTATTAGAAACTACACTTGTTTTTCTGTCTGTAAACCATTGCCAAAACTCATGGTCAAGAATTGTAACTTAGCAGGCAATTTTATTACAAGCACAACAGCGCCAATTTACTCTTTTTGCAGCTACACTGACCCTATGGCATTAGTGATTGTCAATGCTCATTTCTGTCAAGTACCAGGGCAGGTTCAACTAGAAAACACATAGCAGAGATAAACACGCAGTCATATTTCAAAAGGGTTACTGACACATGGCACAAGTCTAATAGGAAACAGATATTTAAAACAGCTCAGAATGTGGGGCTGTATCATCAAGTTCAAAATACCAGGCTTTAAGGGGTTTATTTACCCCCCCTTTTTTTTTTTTTTAACATGCTTCTTCTCCTATAGAAAAAACTTAGAAGTTATGCAGGGATTCCCTCAAATTAAAATCACCATGAAAGAATATGGCTCTGCACTGGAGCAGATAGGGTACAGATGTGTCTCAACAATAATGCCAACAATCACAAGATGCATCAGAAGTTTCCAGCTCCACTAATCAATCAATAAGAGCATTATTATCGACAAACTTTACACACTGGGTTACAGCATTTTCTTCACAGCAGGGCGCTCCTCCCTAAAAAGAGCCCCAAGACTGGATCTACTATGACCTGCTTAGTTTGGTATTGACCACAGCAGGAGACTACAGCTCACGCTGGGGGAAGCTTTCATCTGAACACATGACTACCACAGTGCCAAGTCAACTCCACACGAGCTGCCAGGTGAGCAGAGCTCTGCAGCTATTGCCAGCAATCCCACATACATCATGCTGTGCCAAACTGCACCCCAGTCAGGGATAACCATCCACTCGTACCTGCTACACGCACCTGACCTAATGCAAAAGTGACAACTCAATTCTGACATTCCTGTCTCTAGCCACTGCAAGAGAGCATCGCACAAGAAACATGAAGCGCCCCAAATTTCATTACTTGAACAGAAAACAATGTAATTAATAATTAGGCTCATATTGCTCAGCAGTGTTTTTCAAAAGGAATGATGAAAGAAAAAGAGTACTATAGGGACTTGTGCAGCCCGGCTTCATATCCCAGCCTCCCAGTAGCACACAAAAAGCAAGAAAAATCCTAAAACATATGGAGTGGTGGCAGGGAATTACATAACACAATGTTTGTCCTGGACGCTAAGTGCTTCTTTTTGGACAAAGGTGAATGGACATAAAGAACCCAAATTGAAGTCACTTAAACAAGACTAAACAGCATTTCCAAGCGACTCTTGGTCAAGGCATAGACGGGTCTTTCAGGTTAAAGAAAACCAGAAGTTTTTTCAAGGATACACATGCCTTAAAGCCATGTACTTTGAATTCTCCCAAAATATCTACAGTAGGCATTATGTTCATTAGTAAATACTAGCAGGAAAGAACTTTCTAAATAAATCAAGTTATCATAATGTACTGGTTTTGACTGGGACAGAGTTAATTTTCTTCATAGTCACTAATATGGAGCTATGTTTTGGATTTGTGCTGAAAAGAGCGTTGATAATACAGGCACATTTTCATTATTGCTGAGCAATGCTTACACAGAGTCAATGCCTTTTCTGCTCCTCACACCACTCTGTCAGCAGGTTG